GTCGTGAGAATTATTGTATTATGTTTTATTTTTATTATTTCATTACTTCTCTTCTACGTGACTTTACCGAAAGAACCAAGAAGAAAAAAAAAACACAACGGTGTAATTGCCAGCTCAGGGGGGGGGGGGGGGGGTGAGCGGCCGAGTGACGCAGGAATTGAGACGCACCACCCCCCCCCCCCCATAGGGATGGCATCACTCCGAGGTGCCGTGTCTCTGACATCGCCGCCGTGGCGCCCAAGGGGAGTGGAGAGGAAGCGCCGGGCGCCACGAGCCGCACCTGTGCTGCTGTCACCATGCGGTGGGTTTCGGGGGGCAGAGGCCACGAGCAGGAGGGCCCCCTGCCAAATGCAGCAGGGTCCACCGCGGGCAAACGGTGCTCTTTAATGGGGGACAGCTGCGACGGCTTGAAGCACGCTCCATTTGGCACAGCTTTTCTCCAGTTGCTGCTGCTGCTGTAGGCGTGTTTCGCTTGGCTTGGCCTTGTGGTGCCGTAGCGTAGCGTCTCGTGCTGGCGATGGGAGCGCTCTGCCACCCGCTGCTGCTGCTGCTGCCGGTGCCGTCGGCGAACTGCAGCTGTGAGCGCGCGTGCGTCTCGGCCTGCGGGGACGAGGGCAACTCCACGTGCTCGTGCCGAACCTGCGACCCACTCTGCTCCAGGGTCCTCTTGGTGACCTGGTGAGAGGCGTCATTTGCGTCATTGCGGGAGATGTGGTTGACCGTGTGCAGAGACGCCAAGTCCACGCTCACGTCCCTGTGCTGCCGCTTCTGTGGCGACGGCAGCTTCAATGGCTGCGGATACTCTTCGCGCTTGTGCCTCTGGAAGCAGTCCTTCTGCAGTTCCTTGTTGGCCTTAAATCGAACCTGGCTCCTCTCCAGTTGCATCAGCGAGCAGGAACGCACGCAGCATTCTTCTACGATGCCGCCCAGCCCGCCCTGGCGCTCGCTCGGTTGCGCCGCGTTGAAACCATCGGTGCCGCACACGAACTGCAGCGCCTCCACAAGCTTCGAGCCGCAGAGCGTCTTGGCCGAGCAGCGTTCACTCCACAGCGTGCACAGCGCCAGCCACAGCAGAGCCTGGCTGAGGTGGTGCGGACGCGGCTGTCTGCTTGAGTGGAGGAGGCCCATGGCGAGAGCGAGCGGCGCCGCCACTGCTGCGGCTGCCGTGATCGCGGTGACGGTAAGAACGGCGAAGCACGCCGTTGCTCTCTCTGCTTGCGGACTTTCAGCCCCCTCTCGCCTCGCCCCTTCTCTCTCACGCCTCGCCTCCTCTCTCGAGTACCACCTTCATGGGTCTGCGACGTTTCCTTCCAGAGTTATTGCCAAAAAAAACACACATCCCAGAATCCTCTCGGTTTGGGGTCCAAATGTTGTCGCTTATTATATCCCATGAGAAACGTCGCATCAAGTCAATGCAATTTAATTCTACTCGCCTGGACGAGCGGAATTGAATGGTGAAACTGGTTTTGCTGTGCTGTGTTAAATCAGATATTTGCATGACTGCATGTGTATTTAGAATCGACGTGTTTCGAATATTTGGCTGCTCTAAATGTCCACATGATAAGCCACTTTGTTGCGCTATCATCTGTGGCCAGGTCGCTTCTTATAAAAGCGCTTCATAGCTCAGTGGGATTTACGTGGTTAAAATAAAAAATAGTAAAAATAACAGCACCACCACTCCATGTACACAGAACATTTGACGTGATCCTGACTGCAGTGCTCATCTCGATATGGTCGATGAAAGTGAATTACGTGGCTGCCGCTACGTTAAAAGGTTTCGTCACCTTTGGGTGGCATCAGTTGCTGCTCTGGCCCATCGGGAAATACAACAATGCCTTGATGGAGGCTCCATTGAAGATGCGTGCGACCCTCTCAACTGGCCATCTGACCCGAATGTTCGGTCCAACCCGAGCTGAATATCGAGTGGAACTGGGTGACCCTGGGGCTATTTGCTACAAAGCAACACTTTGTTTTTACAGCCCACGGTCAATCCACTGCTGGATGAAGGCCTCCCCACCATTGTGGTTCTTTGACCATATCCCACCACGGGTGGTCGATGCTGGTCGGTGAAGGTCGCGGGCAACCAGCCCTGACATCGCTCCCCAGTGGAGTCGTTGTTAGCCCTGGACAGGAATTGAACTCGGGTGGAGCCGGTTCGTAGCGTGGCGCGCTTCCCACCTGTGCCACTTCTCGTCACCCTCTTTGGCTGTTTACTCAACGACCTCAACATTCGTCAATTGTGACCGATTCCATTCATAAAGTGCGCTCTTGCCGCCGTGTGCGCTGAGTAGTGCTCAGTATTAAACACGCGTTGACTGCTCTATACAGGGTGGGATAGAGATCTCTACTCAACCCTGCAGGGTGACCCCTCTCATAGTGAAGGCGTTCACACTTGAGCTGCGGTTGTCCTGTGCCAGTAGTTGCATCATTAACTGTGCGGAATCCTTTTCAAACTATTATTATTATAAAAATGCAGAATTTGCCATTAAGTTACTTTTCTTGGATTTAGCAGAATTCTACAATAACTCTCTCAATAGCTGTCACGATCTTTTACATTTTTGCTTTGTTTAATCGAATAACTCATCAGACCATAATTGAATGACCACTTAGTGTAGGACGATAATTGAATGTTTTTAACTCTAAAACTCTGCAATGTTATTTTAATGCTGAGGGTGTTGACAAGAAAAGTAGTGGATATGTGAGATTTAAATTGTCAACTCGTGCCCGCACTGCATCGTGTGGCGGGTTTCTGACAGCAGCAGCATCGCCACGACGCTCTCATTGCCGCTTGGTGAATATCCGTGGCGGGTTCCTTTTCGTTTTTTATTCGTTGAATGAGACGTGACCCTCCCTCACCTGGCCACCCACTTGTGTGTGTGTGTGCCTTCAGGTGTCACAGCAGAGCTATTGCAGAGGGATGCTGCGATTATCCTGGCGTGGGCTAAGCCTCGACAGCGGCCCTCTGTCAATCCACAGCGGAGGTAAGAGCCCCCTATTCTGTGTCAGTAAATGGGTGGGGGGGTGGTTGATCATACTTCACCACGCTGGTCAGTACGAGTTAGTGTGAAGAGGAGGCAGCCCAAAGATCTGTTCAGATGTCACTCAGCACCGACGTTAGCCGTGGCCGGGAATCGAACTTTGATGGCAGCTAAGGGCCGGGCCACCGCTTCACGGGTGAACGGGCTGATTAGATGAGACGAAGGCGTTGCGTTTCATATCAGTGGCTACTCCTCCACGTGGCTGGGCGATTGAGAAACCACACCCACAGCAGTGCCCCAGTGTACCGGCACCCCCCCAGTGCTGGAGTCAACATTCTCTGGGCCCCGTTTTTCTTCACACGCCGCCCTGGATTTGGGCCCGGCAAGAAGCGCGTCGCCACCAAACGCGTTACGGTCAAATGTTGTAAGCGGCAGGTTTATCTAACTTCATATTTGACGACTTCCTCTTCCAAGACCTCCTGGCCAGTGTGGAGGAGTAGGCCAATTACCCTCACAGGGGCTCTCTGCAGCTCCCTCTCGTGGAGGCCCCATTTGCCGGCAGTGGCGTGAACAACCGCAGGGGCTGTACCTTTACCTTCTATCCACTTTTTATATTCAACATTTAATTAGGTCAGCAAGGCGGTGTTGACCTCTTACCCACACACGTTTCTGACAAGTACAGCAAGTGCACGTGTACACAAGTGTACTCCTGTGCTAGTTGCACGCCACTTCTGCTGTTTGTGTTTAGTTTGTTGTCGTTCCCCCACACCTCAGATTAGCACGGTTGGCTGTGTGTGGTGCTAAAGAAGTTAAACATACACACACGCGCATCCACGCACACAAACACGTACACACCCATTAACACACAGACATACAAAGACAAACACCCCCCGTATAGCCAAACAGGCTGTTGGGGCAAGTGCTGTTAGCGAGCACACGCACATCAAAGATCAAAGATCCCCCTTATAGCCTTAACAGACTGTAGGGGCAAGTGCTGTTAGCGAGCACCTATGAAGGCCGACACGGCACACGAGGGGGTGGGTGGCCAGCACCACGCCCGACCGCCTTTGTCTCCCTAGCGGCGATGTTTACCCATCGCACTAGGTACTCATTTTAGGCTGAGTCGACCTAGGGGAGGCCCGGGACCGGTTCAGATAATCGTCACTGGTGTTGGCCGTGAGCGGGAATCGAACTCGGGTGGCCGGGTTCATAGCGCAGCGCGCTAACCGCTGCACTATCGCTCCCCACGACACACGCACATACACACATACATACACACACTTAAACACATACACACACATTTAAACAAACACATACACACACATCCACACCCATACACACATACACCCACACACAAAGACACATACACACACACACTGCGATGGCAAAGTAATAAATGGAAGCGAGACCAGTGTTTGTCACGACAAGTATATATTCATTTCAAGTGCAAATACAAAACGAGGTAGACAAAATCTCTGGAAAACATTAATCTCGCTTTCCCTTCCCACACTTTGAGCTGCTTTTGTACAAACGATAAAAACCCCGAGGAGACCGAATTGTCACCGATCTACATTCACGAGTTCAGAAACCGCTATTTCTGGAGGTATCGTGGATGATGGAAATAAAGTGCTTGGCGAAGTTCATCATTTATCCGTACATTTCACGTGGTAACGGCTTGGCGCTACGGTTAGCGTGTCCATTGAAATGTGCACGCCCCGTACATAAAAAAGTAACAGATATGTAGTTTAAAAAATGCCGACGTATTCACAGTTCAATAAATAAATACTTTGCAACAGCGGTTACTTTTTTAATCCCCGAGACAACGCAAAATAAAAGCCCCGCATTTTACATGAACAGAGACAAGAACCGTACGGGAATACCTTGCACGACCTCACTGAGACCGCACTCCGGCCTCGCGTTGCGGAGGATGCAATCTCGGTCTTCATTTGTAATGGGACAGTTCATTTTGCGGTCACCATCACAATGACGTTCCTGGTGCCAACTCTCTTGACTGATTGGCCAGGGAATAAACATCAACCCCAAGACATAATGGGTTGGTGCCGCCTGCATGGATCTTGGCTCCTGTTTCCCAGAATGGCTGGCGTGATTTTAAGCACTTTCGTGCTGGGTGTTTCAAGTCTTCGTGGATTAAAACTTGATTTGAAGCTTTCGTGATTGCATGAATTACTCTTTGGTTATAGTAGGTTTTTACCCTTTAAACTGGTACAAAACTGACACCTTTATACAAGGCATCATGTTTGCAATAACCACAACACAAGCAGTCAAAATGCAAATAAAAAGAAACAACTTTGATAATGATATGCACTGTCCTTGAAGTTGATTGGTCCACACCCGAGACAGCTTTTCTTAGAGCCTAGTCTCCATTGGTGTTGGACCAGAAGACGCCAAAAGGCGTACAACTCAAAAACAGCACACTATCAGAGTATTGAGAGCTCGGGGTAAGCATTTACACTATGAGACCTCCTTTGCCACTGGTAAAGGAGGTCTCATAGTGTAAATACTCTTTGGTTCTTTCGGTAAAGTCACGTAGAAAATAAATAAATTAAATAATAGAATACGACGTTTCGATTGCAACACAAGCAATCGTCATCAGGTAGAAAGCAAACCTAGTGAACTTAAAAATATTTTCTTTCTTCGTGGATTGTGAGGTCAGAGTTGCTTTAAATGTTTTCTATCTCGTCGGACGGCTGTCAGCATTGGACGGGCGTGCATGAGGCCTTGAGCTAGTGATTGCAGCTCTTTATTGTGTTGAGAATGTGGTCGTCGAGTGAGAATGTCGAGTCTATGGTGATTCCAATGATGTTCAAGTGATTTCAGAGGCTGGTGGTGGAGCCGGCGATGAATACATTTTGGGGGGCGGGCGACGCCATGGTGAGCCTCTACCTGGTGCCTTCGTAAAATGTCTCTCAAAATTAGTTTGATCTTGAGGGGAAGCAAGAGGTTAGACACGTGATCATGGATTTTAACCAGCGACTTATCTTGGTGGGGCGAGTGCCAGTTGTTACACCGGTGGTGGCTGCTGTGCGACCAGAGTGGCGGTGGCTGTGGTGGGACTGGTGGCGGTGGCTGCTGTTGGACTGGCTGCTGTTGGACTGGCTGCTGTGGGACTGGCTGCTGTTGGACTGGCTGCTGTTGGACCTGGCTGCTGTGGGACACGCGGTGGCAGCAGCTGCTGTGGTGCTGACGGCGGCTTCTATGAGACCTGCGGCGGTGGTGGTGGTGGCTGCTGTAGGACTGGCGGTGGTTGCTGGTGGAATGGCAGCGGCTGCTGTGAGATCGGGGTGGTGGTGGTGGCTGCTCTGGGACTAGCGGCAACGGCTGTTGCGTGTCTGGCGTTGCCGGTAGCTGCTGCTGCTGCTGTTCCTGCCGTCGCACTTGCAGTGGCTCCGGCAGTTGTTCCCGTTGGGGCGGTCCGACATCTTGGGTTTCTGGAGATAAAGAAGATGATGGCGCTAAAGTCCAAACCGCTCGACATTGGGAGAATGAAACAAAACCGGTCTAAAGTATAAACAAGAAGATCGCTGTACTTCACCATTCCCTTAATATTAAATGATGCGCTGTCAGGGTGTACATTCTCCCTGGGCATTTCCACGCACACAGGACGGCGTTTCCAATCCATCCTTTACCTTGCGCGCCGGTGAGGAGAGCTGCTGTCCGGTAACTGGGTCCGGGGTCTTCCTTCGCCGAGTGGGGCCGCTTAAGGCACGACCAGGACGTCGCCTTGACGTGCTCCAGCGGGCAGTAGCTCTCCGCTGGCGGCGCGTTCAATTCTGGGGACCTGCATGCACGCACCAACGCGTCGCAAACCGTTAACACCTGCCTTTAAAGGAGACACTGCTGCTCGCACAAGACAATATCTTTCCAGTGAGCTGGTCTGGGGGACGGTTGTAAGTGCAGGTTAAAGTGGAGGGGAGAGAATGTGACTTACCGAATATAGAAGAGCACGTAGGCCTGCTTATTCATCACAGCCTTGGTGTCGACGTGCCGCACGTTGGAGTCGTTCATGCAGCACCATTGTCCATCGCTGATCTGCGCACAGTCAAAGCACAGCTACACTTGGTTACAATGTTTACACAACTGCACCCAGATTCCTCCGTTGATGTAATAACAACACACAATACACACTCTAGACAACAAGTTCGTAAAGAGCATCACCCCATTGTCAGAGCTGCAGAGCGTGCTACGGTTGCTGTGATGGTGCTGAAGTTACGAAACGATCTGCCTGAATATATCACTGCATGGATGACCTTGGACCAATTTCATCAGAATCAGAATCTTTATTTGTACTGAAAGAATTCGATGATCTACGAAGCTCTTAAACAAATGTCCAGTCGGGGCGGGTCAGAAAGTTACAACAACAACAAACAATACAACACCGATTGGAGTGCAAAGTGTAGAAATGCTATGGAAGTCACTAAATACAAATAAAGTATACACTATAAGTAGAAATTGCATGAGTGCATCAAGACGCAAGAACATACACAAGACTTTTAATTATTCTTCCCTATCGGACATTGGTAACATTATGGGCGCATTGCAGATGTGCGTTGTTTTTGTTTGATAGTAACGAATGGAATTACCTTATTGTAGCAATAATAATGACCCCTGTTGGAGTTGGCTCCCTTGTGCACCAGCACCGAGTACAGGGAGTAGATCGCGGGCTCGCCCTGAGACGTTGAGGTGAAGGGTTGCATGTCCAGGTGCTCCGGGTAGGTGATGTTCTACAGGCAGCGCACAGGAGAGGGAGGCAGTGCACAGAGACAAATGTTAGGAGAGGAAACGGCAGGGGTGGTGGGGTGGGCAGCAGAGATGGGCACCATCTCAGTTACGTGTCAAAGTGATGTCGTGATGTCTCGCTAATTTGAGCATTGAAGATGGTGCTCATCTCCTGTTCATAGCCCTGAGCAAGTGGTGGAAATTCTACAGTCACATGACGGGGGGCGAGTCTCTCTATTCCAACATGGAGAGGCATTTTCTCCAGCGTTGAACTGACAAAGGGCTGTCATTAAGTAATTTAATTCGAACGATGTGGAGGGGCAGAATCGTTACCCGGTTGATCTTGACGCCGTAGAGGTTGTACCGCTTGATGGAGACGGTGAGGACGTTGGGCAGGCGGTGGAGAGCCATCGTCTTCGTCGCTTCCCCCTTGCAGCAGCACCTGCACGACAACAACAACGCCAGCCATCGCACGCGTTACCCAACTTTTTAACAATAAGTCTACTCTCTTTTTGTTGTTTGTTAATTTTTCTTAATTTCTTAAAATAAAAAATGGTTACTTTTATTATATATTGTAAGTTATTTTCAATGTATTTACATAATATTTTATTAAAATATTTTATTATAATTTGATTTAATCTGCAGACTTTTGAAGCTACAAATGATTCCAGGGTGTCAACACACGATGCCCAACTCACATTCCGCAGGTGTATTCGTCCAGCGTCTCCTTGTTAAAAAACTCTTCAAATGCCTCCACAAGATCTGATGAGTTCTGTTGGTCGACAGAGTGAAACGCAAATGAGGACTCTAAGAAGCATTCCATGAACATCTGCAGAATGTTATTGTGACGGCAACTCCGAAAACCTGCATCTTGTATGAAATCGTACGACCAAAAAAAGAGATCACGTACGCTACCGGCAGTGTGTTTGGATGTTAAGTGGCTGATTCAGGTAGGCGTGTGTGTGGTGGATGTTGGCACAGCAGGGAGCACAGGTGGTGCATCGGCCAGTCATCTCGGTCAACCCATGGCACTTGGGTCTGTCCCGTGACCTGCCAGCGGGCGTTCGACACTTCATGTGGCCTTAAAGCGCACTCAGGCTGGCACAAGCACCGTGGTGACATCACCGCCACTTAGTGGCGAATGGGGGTTGTTGTTCACGTATGCGATGTATGTACGTTTAACTTATTTCGCACCGTACGTAGATCTTTAACTTTTAAGCGATGGCTTCGTCATTGCTTACATTAATATGGAGTGCAATGTCCAGGCACGTGTCAAAGGTGTCGGAGTGGTTGCAGCACTGCATGCACTCCACTGCAAAACACAAGCACACACGCATTAGGAAGGGACGTCACATGTTACTTAGTAAAACTAAATGCACGCTCCCCACTGACATTGGTAATTGGTAGTTTTCACCAACTGGTTATTCTGTGTTACACGTGCGTGAGAGTGTGCAAACGCTGCGACGCGAGCACGTCTACACTGTGATGGTGCACTTGCTGCTCGCGGTTAACAAGTTTCTAGAGGAGTGCGCACAACTCACCACGTGATCGAAGGTAACCCCCGAAGATCTGGTAAATGAGGGTGGTAGCCTCCGTGTATCTGTCCAGCCTGCCAGTCACAGAGAACGACACCACACGGTGGTTACAGCAGCAGCAGTAGTAACACCTTTACCGGATGCACACACGTGTGTGAGAGTTACACCATTGCCCGAGCTGTCGATTCACTCTTTCCCTTCAGCACTGCAACGCGTGCTCTGTAGCAACCAAACGTGGTAGTGTCTGCACAGGGCAGCCACCTTCACGGCACAGCCACAGAGCTGGGGGAAAGCTGGCAGCCATCACGCGGTGCTGTTGCCCGGCGCTTTTGTTGTGCCCAGCGTGCCACGTGCCGCTCGTCAACACGAGGAATGTCGTCACGGGGCCACCGCACATCGAGACATCGATTTCCCGATATTTATCGGCAACGTGAAATGCGCAAACAAAAGGTGGCCCACGTCAGGGCCAAGGTGAAAGAACCGTGGTGCCAGCAGGGTCGGACCTCTGCATCTCCCAGGTTTTCACACAAAAGTGTGAGTAGCTTTTCACAGACGTTGAAGTACAATCGTGCAGAAAACCAAGAGGAAGCCGTGAGGTACCAAACTGCAGAACGACTGCCGCATGTTGACTGGCGCGCAGTACTCACTCGCTGTGGCCATAGAGGCATGAGGCTTGCATGGCATCGACCACGTATCGCAGAAACTCGTGGGCATCTTCCTGTCTCCCAATGCGCAGGTGTTTGGCGATGCCTGCAGAGAAATGGACATGGGGACAAAGTGACAGGTACAGGATCTGATGACATCCTTCAAGAGCTCCCCAACATATATGGCAAAAGGAGTGGTGCAAAGGACTTGGAACACAGATGGAGAAAGATCGCGGGGGATAACTTCTCCTGCGAGTGCAAGTGTGAACGTAGTATTGGGACTCACGCGTGATGTTCTTAGTTATGACCTTGGGTGTCAGCACTCTCTGCGAGTTGTTGAACGTGCTGACAATGTGATGCTCCATGACACACATCAGGCAAAAGTCGCTCTGTTGGCCTGCGAACGAGAGCACAGGTGGCACAATCCGTCAGCGCACGCCACTTGCACTCAGCCCAGCTGGGGAGTAACAAGAAAGGCTAGAATCCTGGCACCAGCAACAATCGCAATGAATGTTGCGTCTAAGTACCAATTGCATCACATCTGTCCGACCTATTAAAAATTATCGCCACATGTGCTCGTGTTTATCAAAATCATAATATTTATACTGGTGGAATCCGATAAGCTAAGAGGTTTTGTTTAAAAAATGTCGAGTAGGGGCACTGGGTCAGAACATTACAACACCAAACAATACAAAAAACGATCAGAGTACAAAGTATTGGAAAGGTAAACAAATCACCTTTTAAAAATCAACAAATAAAACTAAACTTTTTTTTCATCTTCCCAGATAAAGCCCACTGAGCTATTAGCTTCTTCAGAAGCGACCTGGACCACAAATGATAGCTCAACGAAGTGGCTTATCACGTGGGAAATGTATCGCAGCAAAATAACTGACATAATAACCTAACCCATGGGTAAACGAGAGTGCCAGGGGGGAGGGTACTTACAGGTGCTGCAGTGCTCTTGCAGCAGCAGGTAGTTGGCGAGCGGCGGCGTGTAGGCGAGGCACTGCAGCGTGGCGTTGAGGAAGCAGGTGTTCCCCAGGTTGCGCAGGCCGGCACCCTTGCAGACGTCGCTCTCCCACCGGAGGTTCAGCCGCTCCGGTGCAAACAACGAGAGCCGTGCCGCTGGAATGCCGTCGTCCTCCTCTGCACAAAGGGTCGGAAGCCGGTGTCATCGCAGAGCGCTGCACTGCCGATGGGGCTGGCGTGGATATTCAGTAGCCCCAGCCAGCACCCGTACTGCTACTCTTAACCACGAAGATTTTGCTCCACATTTAAGTGTCAGGTTCAAGTTCGCGAAAAATATAATTTGCCTGTCGCGTTGGCTGCTGGGTGTTTTGAGCTCCCCGTGTTACTCGTGAACGGCAACAGCAGTGGCTCCAAAGCGGCCCTTGCGTTGGTGGCTGCCACCCTAATGAGATGCCATGACGTCACGTGATCGCACACTCACCTTGGGGTGCAGGCACAGACACGCTGATGTTCTCTGTGGCTGGTACAGGGGAGGGCTCCGGCCGGCCATGGGGAAGGCAGCAGGGTTGCGTGCAGAGCCACTCGTCGGCCGCCACCAGCACCTCGTTGGACGAGGTGGGGGCCAAGACCGTGAGGTCGTTGCCGGACGAGGTGCCCTCTGCTCCGCACGCCACAGTCGTGGTTGGGTCCTGCCACACAACGTAGTCAAAACATCCACAATTGTTCCTCCCATCTGGACTGGGATCCCAACACACGCGGGACTGTTTTATCACCAAAAGAAATACAATTTTAGTCCATGAACCTATGGGCGATCTGCATGAATTGTCTCAGAAGCAAAAATATATTTACAGTATACACCTGTATTTTTAAAGTAACCCCAAACTCACTTTAACTCGCAAAATATTATATGAAGAACGGCCATTGACTAAAGATGAACTAATTCAATTTGTTGTTATGCATGCGAGAGAGAAGGCAGCTGTAGTTTAAAAGAGGTCATAAATGCATTTCAGAAGATAAATCGAGCATTCATGTTAATCAAATTAATTTTTAACATTTGTTAAAATTAAACTAAATAATCCTCCGTGATTTGTTCAAATAAATACACTAATCCTGATTTTTCGGCCACCCTCTTACAAACGACGTCATGAAGGGCCAACTGTGATGTGCTCTGAAAAAGGGGCATTAACTGAAACGTCGCTTTTATATATTTAAGAATACTTTATATATGTAAAACACGTTTTTATCAAAGTCAGAATATTTATACGGGAGGAATCCGATGAGCTATAAAGCTCTTTTTCACAGATGTCCAGTCGGGGCGGGTAAGAATGTTACAACAACGAACAACACAAACATCATAGGAGTGCAAAATACAAGTTGGCCCAAAAGTTAAGACACAGGGTTACTTAATTTATCTTAACACTGACATTACATAGTTCTCATTATTTGTTCTTAAAGTTAACAATTTAACTATCATTAATTTTGATAACATCCTCTGTGACTAGTTCAAATAAATACGGTAACTCTGTGTCCTGACTTTTGGGGCAATTTTATATAGGCGACGTTATGTAATTGATGTGATGTGCTCTGCAGAAGGGCCATTATCTGAAACGTCGCCTATCATTTTCCTGTAACAATTCCCCCCACTCGTGCACTCCCAGCGTTGTGATTGGCTGAGTGGCACCAGCGGGCCCCGCCCCGCCCGCCACCCGGGGCCCCGCCCCCTCACCTGAGGCTCCGCCCCCAGACGCGGCCCCGCCGCCGCCTGCGCGGCTCCCGTCAGCTCCGGCACGGCGACCCGCGCCGCGCCTCGGGCTTCATCCGGGGAGGGGGTCCCGGGCACAGCCCCGCGGGATCCCTCGCGGGGGTCATCATCTGCAAGAAGGAGAAGCACAGCGATCACATTTTGTACTTGGGACAAACACACGGCTCTACATTTCCCACGAAAGTTTAACATGGCACTGTGTTCAGTAGCCCCAGCCAGCAGCACCCGTGCTGCTACTCTTAACCAGAAAGATGTTGCTCCACATTAAAGTTTAAATCTCAAGGTAGCGAAAAATGTGATGCGCCTGTCACGTTGACTGATAGGTGTTTTGAGCTCCTCGTGTTACTCGTGAACGGCAACAGCAGTGGCTCCAAAGCGGCCCTTGCATTGGTGGCCGCCACCCTAACGAGAGGCCACGAGGTCGCGTGGTCGCATGCTCACCTTGGGGTGCAGGCAGCACAGACACGCTGATGTTTTCTCGTGCTGTGGCTGGCACCGGGGAGGGTTCCGGCAGGCCATGGGGAAGGCAGCTGGGTTGGGAGCAGAGCCTCTCGTCGGCCGCCGCCAGCACCTCGTTGGACGAGGTGGGGGCCAAGACCGTGAGGTCGTTGCCGGACGAGGTGCCCTCTGCTCCGCACGCCACAGTCGTGGTTGGGTCCTGCCACACAACGTAGTCAAAACATCCACAATTACTCCTCCCATCTTGACTTGGATCCCAACACACGTGGGACTATTTTATCACCAAAAGAAATACAATTTTAGTCCACGACCCAATGGGCAACCTGCATCAAATGTCTCAAATATATAAACATAATCTATTTTTAAAGGAACCCCAAACTCACTTTAACTCGCCAAATAGTCTATGAAGAAGGGGCCATTGGCTAAAGACGAACGAGTTCAGTTCGTCGTTACGTATGCAAAAGAAGGCAGCTGTAAACTTTTTAAGATATTAACTTAATTTTAAAAGATAATTCGTGCATTCATCTTGAACTAAATAACAATCTGTTATTTGTTAACACAATTATAACCCGATGTATCCTGATTTTTGGGCCAGCCTCTTATTAACGACGTCATGAAGGACTGTGACGTGCTCTGAAGCAGGGCCAGTGCCTGATACGTCACCTGTTATATATTTAATCATACAGTATACATTTCGATTTAAAGCTTTCGTGACTGCAGGGATTCATGTTTTTGGTTCTTTACAATAATTACAGATAATAATAATGTGTAATTAATGTATACTGTATGGTAAAGTCACGTAGAAGGGAAGTAATAAAATAATAAAAATAAAACATAAAATAATTCTCACGACGTTTCGGCCACAACGCAAGCAGCCGTCCTCAGGTGAAGAACAGGTCTGTCGAGAAGACAGAGTCTGAATGACAACCCCAGGCTTGGAGCGTCTTTTTAAGCTGGGTTGGAGGGGGGGAAGAGCGCCTTGACAAAATAGTTTGCATATCAAGAGGAATTTAGCATATATATAAGCTGGGTTGGAGGTGGAAGAAGAGTGCCTTGACATTCCCTCCCTTTGTTAATGCTACCCCCTACCCGCTCCTTTTGATGCTGCTAATCCTGCATAATGCATGGGCATAATATGACTTTGAAACCCCCCAGCCCACCTCCTACGCATTTTACATAAATATGCTAAATTCCTCTTGATATGCAAATTATTTTGTCAAGGCGCTCTTCTTCCACCTCCAACCCAGCTTATATATATATGCTAAATTCCTCTTGATATGCAAATTATTTTGTCAAGGCGCTCTTCCCCCCCTCTAACCCAGCTTAAAAAGACGCTCCAAGCCTGGGGTTGTCATTCAGACTCTGTCTTCTCGACAGACCTGTTCTTCACCTGAGGACGGGTGCTTGCGTTGTGGCTGAAACGTCGTGAGAATTATTTTATTATGTTTTATTTTTATTATTTTATTACTTCCCTTCTAGGTGACTTTACCATACAGTATACATTAATTACACATTATTATACAGGTTGGCCCAAAAGTTAAGACACGGGGTTATTTAATTTATCTTGGCACTTACATTACAACGTTTTCATTATTTATTTTAAAAGTTAACTTTATTCTCAAACTTTCGGTGACATGTGCCTAACGCCGGACACTCTGCATGCTGCGTGTAACACTGACTCGGCTCGGTGGAGTTCCATGCAATTCTCAAGATTTTTTTTTTTCTTCGAAGGCTTAGATTAAAATTGTGACTAATTATTCGTTTGTTGTGAGACGAAAAATCAATGTTCTCCCTAAATATCCCCTGTGTTTGTATTTTATCTTTGCGTTTTGACACCCTCTATTACTGAATAATAAATAAACTATTCAGTTAATTTGTGCGTGATAATAGTTTTTTTTTACTTCGAATAGAAATTGAAATAAAGGAGCAGAATCTGCTTTGAATTTGAACTCAGTGCAGTTTCACTTTGATGACTTTTGCTTGCACTTACGGTGAACATTTGTTAAAATGAGTGAACACCGACCTTTCCCCTTGCGATCAATAATCAATATTCACTTTTTTTAAATTCACATCAATTCAGAATCCAGTAAGTTATTGTAACTGAACAGGGGCGTCCACCCGTCCATGAAGGCGAATGAGGCGGCCGCCTAGGGCCCCAAGTTAAGTGGGGCGCCAAAAATTCGAGCAAAACACATTCCTGCGGAGGGAGCTGGTAGTAACGGTCAATGGCCAGGGTCAACGGCGGCGTGGTGTATTCCGCAAATATGCCCGACTGTGAGGGCAGGCACAAGCCGGTGTGAGTAGGTTAAACGTTGATACAGGTTGGAACACCAGGTTCCACACTGCCCACCAGGGATTATTTGTCTGTCGTGCATCAGAATGCAGCCCACCCATGCCCCCCCCCCACCGACCGCCGAGCAAGGCCACGATTGGTTGAGGATGTCGGGGAGGGTGGGGGGAAGGTAAACACGCCCAATCATCCAACTGCCCACCCCCCCAAAACGCCGAACGGGGCGGCCACTGGTAGAGGTGGGGTGTAAACACGCCCACTCATGCAATCCCCTCCTTACAGAACACCGAGCAACGCCGCGATTGGTTGACGATGTCAGGGAGGGTGGGGGGGAAGGGTAAACATGCCCACTCATCCAACTGCCCCCCCCCCGAACGCCGCGCTGAGTGTGAGTCTGAAAGTGTAAGAGTGTGTGTGTGTGAGTCTGAGAGTGTGTGTTTGTGTGAGTCTGAGAGTGTGAAAGTAAGTGTGTGTTTGAGTCTGAGAGTGTGAGAGTGAGTTTGTGTCTGTTAGTCTGAGTGTGAGAGTGAGTGTATGTGTGTGTGAGTCTGAGAGAGTGAGAGTGAGTCTGAGAGTGTAAGGGTGAGTGTGTGTGTGAGTTTGAGAGTGTGTGTGAGTCTGAGAGAGTGAGAGTGAGTCTGAGAGTGTAAGGGTGAGTGTGTGTGTGAGTCTGAGAGTGTGTGTGAGTCTGAGAATGTGAGATGTCAGTGTCTGTGTGCGTCTGAGCGTGAGTGTATGTGTGTGTGAGTCTGAGAGTGTGAGAGTGTGTGTGTGAGTCTGAGAGTGTGAAAGTGAGTGTATGTGTGTGTGAGTCTGAGAGTGTGAAAGTAAGTGTGTGTTTGAGTCTGAGAGTGTGAGAGTGAGTGTGTGTCTGTTAGTCTGAGTGTGAGAGTAAGTGTATGTGTGTGAGTCTGAGAGTGAATCTGAGAGTGTAAGGGTGAGTGTGTGTGAGTCTGAGAGTGAGTGTGTGTGTGAGTCTGAGAGTGTGAGAGTGAGTGTATGTGTGTGTGAGTCTTAGTTACCTAGAGTGTTATACAGGCAGGAACAACAGGTTCCACACTGCCCACCAGGGATTATTTGTCTGTCTGTCGTGCATATCCGGAATTCTGCCCACCCATGCACCTCCCCGAGGCCTCGGCAAGGTAAGGTAAAAGTTATAAAGTAAAAACGAGCCTACCTTTACCCTACCTTTTACCTTACCACAATACAATCACTCTACCTTTACATTTTACCCTTTAGCAGGTAAGGTAAAAAGTAACGAGCCTACCTTTTACCCTTACCCCATACACATTACCCGATTACAGGGTAATTACTAGGGTACTACACATGAAAAAGGTTTATAACGGTAAATGCTAGATAGCGCGCTTTATTCATATAGAGTACTCTCGATGATTCCAATTTTACACGCTTGTTCTTGTCATTGTTGTCGTTGTCATCGCTGTCGTATCCTCAAATCTTGTAACTCAATTTTAACCCACTTCCTAATGTGGTATCGACTGCACACTTGGTATACTTATGGCATACTGATGACAATACTATATTCTATCATAAAAAAAATTACATTATTTTTTATGTTATGTTTCGGCTTGGGTCTAATAGTCCACGCTCAACTGACGTTGGCTGTAAATCACCACGGTCCCTTACGTTATGGCAAGCTTCGGGGCCACTTCCTGGAGTCGTGGAGTTCTGTTATTACTCGTAGATTTAATGAAAGCGTGTTTAAAAAAAGTATTTTTTATATTACTTATTAAATGGAGGCCATGGACTGCGCCACGGAGCTTTTAGCGGTAAACAAGGTACCGTATTTACCGTTTAATACTTCGCGCTATCTTTACCCTACCGGGTAATTCTTCCGAGCTACCTTTACCCTACCCTTGACCTTACCCCTTGGCATGTTGACACCTTTACTCTTTTACACAGTAAAAAGGGTAAATTACCTTACCTTGCTGAGGCCTACTCCCCACCGAACACCGAGCTACGCCGCGATTGGTTGGCGATGTCGGGGAAGGTGGGGGGGAAGGGTAAACACGCCCACTCATCCAACTGCCACCCCCGAACGGCGCGCTGTCCAACCAATTTCCTACCTGCCCACTCCGAAGGAACGTGTTAGGGCACCACGGGGTGAGCAGCCCCTCCCCACCCAGCCCCACCCCTCCCACCCCCTACCCTCCGAACCCAGCTCCTCCCTGCACGACGGACGGACAAAATAATCCCCTGTGGGCTGGTGTAACCAGGAGGTCACTACCAGTCGACATACCAATAAAATAACGACGATGTCATTATTTCAATTCCTGTGCGCATACAGCGGGAATATGAATTATAATTCACTTCTCAACATTCCTGAGAATGTATTGGTTGGACAGACGGGCGAACGGACAGACCGAATCATTATTCCTCTGTTTAAAAAAAATCCGCTTAAAACATTAAGTTATCATCATACCTAAAATCGGGGGAAAATGTTTCCCAGTTTACCAGAAACCTCAGCCTGGATCTGCCCTTGGGGTTTGGGGGTGGGGCCGCCCATTGGGTGGTTGGCCGAGGGCGTTGCCAGTTGCTGGCAGCAGCTGCTCTAGGGCCGCTCCTCTCACTGAGTGCAAATTCATTTTGGTAAAAGCGATTTTCTGCTCACGTTTTGAGCGAAAATTGGTGAACACAACGACGCGTCCTTCCGGGTTATAAACAGCTCATTTTTTTGTATTCACATAAATAGGGAATCCAGTAAGTCAATACATAAAATAATAATAATGTAATAATTACCACAACAATTGCGCATTTGCAACAAACATAAATCATAAACTGCGTGTTTACATTGTTTCATTCACTCTCACAGGTGAGAAAAAAATAAAAGTTTGCAAAACTAATTTTCGATTGAAACTTTTCGTTTACTTTCTTCCCGACAGAAAGGAAACTCCAACAGCTATTAGAATGATGAAGGTGATTTACAATTTTTCATTCTTTATTTTCAGGTTTGTTATACATTACTCTCGGAGAAGATAAAATTACATTCGGTACGTCACATTCCGTAATTTTGAGTTCATTCAGATGAATCCAGAAGAGTCGCAGACGAAAGAAGACGTCGATTAAACGGAGGAAGACGGCAGAGGTGGCGTCATCGACAAAGTCACAACACAGTGGATCGTTTACGACGTGAAAATACCCGTCACGTGACGGGCAATTACGCGATGCTCCTCACCAGGACTAAAGCGGGAAGTTATTTTTCCCCAATAACATTCCTTAAATAATGATCAAATAGAGCAAGTCAAGATCTATAAGTATCTTGGGGTCATCCTTGATTCAAAACTGAATTTTGAAGATCACATTGATTATATTGGTAAAAAGACAGAAATAGGTTTTCTGTATCGACACAAGCACTGCTTCCCCCCTATGTTCCGTTTGGAATTGATAAAAGCTACCATACTGTCTCTACTTGATTACTGTGACATCGTGTATAAATCAGCCCCAAGTACTGCATTGAAGAAGTTTGACTCAATGTATCACCCCGGCCTTAAGATTTGCACTGAACTGCCCATATAGGACTAATCACTGTGATCTCTACATTGGGTCAAACTTAACATCTCTTAATGTTCGACGGCTTGTACACCAGATCTTTTTTATTCATAATGTACTTACAAAAAAATCCGCAGATTATCTGCAGGACTTCCTCTCAGTTTCAAAGAAAAAATTTGACCTAAGGTCTTCGCTCATTTACCAACTTCAGATTCCCTATTGCCGTATAAATACTGGAGGAAGGGCCTTTTCTATTGATGCCCCCAGGGTCTGGAATGCTATTGCCAATAAACTGCAACTTGAATCACTACCTATGATATCTTCACTCAAAACTGCTCTAGAGGAGATGTACACCCCGAGCTGCCACTGCTATTTAGTGGCCTAAAATAAAATGTTTCACTCCGGACTTGCATCCCACTGGGATTTTTGCACACAGCGTTGGTGTACGGTGCTTTTTCTGCAATGTTTTGCCGTCTTTTTTTGGATTTTCTGTTTGCAAATAGTCACATAGTCACTTTAAGATGTTTTCTTGTTCATGTTTTTTTGTTTGTTGTGGTTGCACCCGATTCAAGAGCCGAATGGCTCACAGGGCTATACCTAATAAATGAACTTGAACTTGATGTTATTATTAATATCTATTTTTCTTCTTCATTTTCAGATGACATTGAAAACATGGACAGGAAATTGACCAGAGACGAACGAGTTTGATTGTCATTCGTATGCAAAAGAAGGCAGCTGTGATTGCTCATTCGTGCATCGTGCATCAATGTAAACAGAAGTCAGTTTTAACATTTGTTAAAACAAACAACATAATGCTTTCTAACTGTTAAAATAAAAATGATGACACTATGTGGCATGACTTTTGGGCTACCCTCTATAGGTGACGTTATGAAGGGCCAATTGTGATGTGCTTTGCAGAAAGGCCATTGCCTGAAACGTCGCTTTTTTATATATAACCACACATTATATATTTATTACACATTATTATCGGAATCAGAATAGATATTTAGACTGGAGGAATCCGATGAGTTATAAAGCTCTTTCGTATAGGTGTCCAGTTGGGGCAGGTAAGAATGTTAAAACAACGAATAATATCAACACATGATTGGAGTGCAAAATACAGGTTGGCCCAAAAGTTTCATTCATCGTGCCACTGAAATTGCAACGTTTTAATCATTTAGTCTAAAAGTTAACTTTTTTTTTGTTATTATAATTAATACCATGACAAAACAATCCTCTGTGATTTGTTTAAATAAATCAATAAGATCTGTGTGTCCTAACGTGTGGGCCACCCTCTATCGGCGACGGTATGAAAGGGCAAACAACTGTGATGTGCTCTGCAGACGGACCATTGCCTGAAACGTCACCTATCATTATCCAATACCCACCCCAGTGTACTCCCAGCGTTGTGGTTGGTTTAGCGGCCCCGCCGCCGCCTGCGCGGCTCCCGTCAGCTCCGGCACGGCGACCCGCGCCGTGCCTCGGGCATCATCCGGGGAGGGGGTCCCGGGCACAGCCCCGCGGGATCCCTCGCGGGTGTCGCCATCTGCAAGAAGGAGAAGAAGCATAGTGGTCACATTTCGTACTTCTGGGTCTACATTTCCCATTATAGATAAAACATGGCCCCAGCCAGCACCCGTCGTGCCACCATTAACCAGAAAGATTTTGCTCCACATTGAAGTATGAAGCTCAAATTCGAGAATAATGTGATGTGCCTGTCACGTTGTCTGATAGGTGTTTTAAGCTCCCCGTGTTACTCATGATGGGCAACAGCAGTGGCTCCAAAGTGGCCCTTGCGTTGGTGGCTGCCACCCTAACGAGAAGTCACGAGGTCGCGTGGTCGCACACTCACCTTGGGGTGCAGGCAGCACAGACACGCTGATGTTCTCGCGTGCTGTAGCTGGCACCAGGGAGGGTTCAGGCCGACCATGGGGAATGCAGCTGGGTTGCGTGTAGAGCCTCTCGTCGGCCGCCACCAGCACCTCGTTGGACGAGGTGGGGGCCAAGACCGTGAGGTCGTTACCAGACGAGGTGCCCTCTGCTCCAGCTGCCACAGTCATGGTTGGGCCCTGCCACAGCAACGCAGTCAACACATCCACAATTAATCCTCCCATCCGGACTGGCATCCCAACACACGTGAGACTGAATTATCTCCAAAATGAATCAAATTAAGTCCATGAACCGATAAGTGATCTGCATTAAATGTCTCTGAAATATATATAGACGATTGATTTTTAGAGGAACCCCAAACTGACAAAATATTCAAAGAAGTTGCCATTGACTAAAGACGAACGAGTTCAGTTCGTTGTTATGCATGCAAAAAAGGTAGCTGTAATTTAAAAAAGGTGCTAAATGCATTTCAAAATGGTAATGGATATCAGTTTTAACATTTGTTGAAATTAAACTCAATGACCTCTTGTGATTTGTTAAGATAAATACAATAACTTTGCGTGTCCTGACTTTTGGGCCACCCTCTACAGGCCACGTTATAAAAGGGTCTAACAACTGTTGACGTGCTCTGCACAAGGACCATTGCCCGAAACGTCGCCGATCATGATCCAATAACAATTCCCCCCACTCGTGCACTCCCAGCGTTGTGATTGGCTGAGTGGCGCCAGCGGGCCCCGCCCCGCCCGCCACCCGGGGCCCCGCCCCCTCACCTGAGGCTCCGCCCCCAGACGCGGCCCCGCCGCCGCCTGCGCGGCTCCCGTCAGCTCCGGCACGGCGACCCGCGCCGCGCCTCGGGCTTCATCCGGGGAGGGGGTCCCGGGCACAGCCCCGCGGGATCCCTCGCGGGGGTCATCATCTGCAAGAAGAAGAAGCACAGCGATCACATTTTGTACTTGGGACAAACACACGGCTCTACATTTTCCACGAAAGTTTAACATGGCACTGTTCAGTAGCCCCAACCAGCAGCACCCGTGCTGCTACTCTTGACCAGAAAGATGTTGCTCCACATTAAAGTTTAAATCTCAATGTAGCGAAAAATATGATGCGCCTGTCACGTTGACTGATAGGTGTTTTGAGCTCCTCGTGTTACTCGTGAACGGCAACAGCAGTGGCTCCAAAGCGGCCCATGCATTGGTGGCCGCCACCCTAATGAGAGGCCACGAGGTCGCGAGGTCGCGTGGTCGCACACTCACCTTGGGGTGCATTTCCCACTGGAGACAGACATGGGCCTGTCGATCGCTTCTGAATAACTAAATAGCTCAGTGGGCTTCACCTGGTTTAATAAAAAAAATTAACCCGTAAAAACAAAGTTTTTCACTATAAATCCTTTACATGCGTGGCATCGGTTTTCATTTTATTACTCATTTTCTGTTTTTCTTGAGTAAGAGTTTCATTTTTATCACATTGGTATTTTAAATAACATATGAATTTTTATTTATCCTAAAAAGTGGAACATTTTTTTCACGAAAATAAATTGTCACGCACAACGAGTCTGTGTGCAAAATGTCAGCTCGATTGGATCACGGGAAGTGGGTTAAAAAGACGACCGAAAGATTTGCACGGTCGTAAGCAAGCAAGCAAGCGCGCAAGTGAACTTAATATAAAGGATTTAAAAAGAGTGGAGCTCATTTCGTTTTCGGGATTAACTTACTTTTCTCATACTTTTCACTTGTTGTTATTGGTGTAATTTCCTGAAATCGTTTAAAAGAGCTTTATAGCTCATCGGATTTATCCACGATTAATAAAGTTCATGATTTTGAATTGGTGAGTGACGGTTGGTAACTTACGGGTGGTCCATTTGCCCCCCCCCCCCCCCTGTGACAGTTGGTCACTTACGGGGTCCTTTGCCCCCCCCCCCCCGTGAGTGACGGTTGGTCGC